AATAAGGTAACTCTGTTTAACTTTTTGAGAAACTGCTAGACTACTTTTCAAAGCAGCCACACCATTTTATGTTCCATTCATAATGCATGAAGGTTCTATTTGCCCAACGTCCTCACCAACATTTGTGATTGTCTTTTTGATTATAGCCATTCTAGTGGTGTTTCAGTGATTTTCATTTGCACTTCTGGAAAAGTGTTCACATTCTTTGCCCGTTATTTTAGATGGCTATTTTAATCTTCTTATTTAGTTGTAAGAGTGATTTTATGTCTTCTGGATACAACTTATCAGATATGTGACTTAGAAATTTTTCTTCAAGTCTGTGAGTTGTGCTTCTTTATAGTGTCCTGAGAAGCATGCAAATTTTAAATTTTGATGAAATCCACTTTATCAGTCTTCTATTGCTTTTGGCTCTGGTGACTTTTCTGAGAAATCATTGCCTAAGCCTTAATGACAAAGATTTATTCCTGTGTTTTGAGTTTTATAGTTTTAGCTCTTATATTTAAGTCAGTGTATAATCTACTTTGAGTTAATCTTTGTGGTGTGAGGTATGGATCCAAGTTCTTTTTTTTTTTTTAATGTGGATATCCAGTTGTCCTAGTCCCATTTGTTGAATGTCATCAAAGTGAGTTGGAAATTTTCTTTCAACTCCATAGCATATTTATTTTTTATTTTATGTAATAAGTACATGTATAGGCCCATAATTAAGAGAGCTTTCATTAGACTCCATTTCCTTATTAGAAAGATGGGAATATATTTCATGGATTTTATTGGTTTTAAATATGGTTTTGTATGGTTTTAAAATACTGGAGTCTATAATTCTGATCAAAAGTCTTCCCAAATTATGTTGTGCTGGTGTTTTTGTTATGATCATATTTCCAGATCTCAGTCATGTTGGTTTGTTCAAAGAAGAGAATATCCATTGTGTTAAGGAATAAGGGATGTAAAATCAGATAAACATATTTATAATCTAAGTGGGAAGTAGCATTAGATCCTTTCTTTGTTTAATTAACATAATTCATATTGATTTCAATTGAATCTCTGGTTCAGTAGTACTTGAAATTGAGCTTTAGCTGACCCTGATAAAAAGCAACTTGTTACATACAAAACAAGAACAATAAAATTTTTAAACAGAAAGGTAGGGTGGGGGTGGGAATGAGTGTTGTAAACCCTTTAAAATAATAGTACAAAATTCCTTAAGTTCATGATGGGAATAGATTGGTAGTAAGGTGTTTAATAGTCTGTAGGTTCATCTAGATTTGACTCTGCCTTGAAAGATAAAGCACAACAGTAACAAAAATAGTAAACCCTGCCTCAAAATACCCTGTAGATAGCATTTATTATTGAGAACACTTTGAGGGAAAAATTGTCAAATATTTAAGTTTATTTTTTTTCTTCCAGTTTTATTGAGATACAGGAGACTACACTGTGTAAGTTGTGGGTGTGATTAACTTTACTGTTAATACATCATAAAAGTTTATCACAGTCGGTTTAATGAGCATCCATTATGCCATTTAGATACAAAATCAAAGAAATAGAAAAAAAATTTTGTGTTAAGTACTCTTAAGGTTCCTTTCTTAGCCACTTTCGTATATAACATACAGCAGTGTTAGTTATATGTATCATGTTGTACATTACATTCCTAGTACTTATTTATCTTAAAACTGGAAATTTAAGTTTATTTAAGTTGCACCAGAGGTAAAAGTGGTGGTTTTCTTAGATAATATGATGTACTATATCAATAATGCGTTGCTATATAACAAACCCGTGTAAACTGTCTTAAAATAGCAGTCATTTATTTTGCTCACAAATCTGGGGTAGTTTGGGTAGGCCTCATGACTTGTTTCTGTTTCACACAGTGCCTGTTGTTGGCGTAATTGCAGGGGTAGGGGGAGGTACCAAAGGATGCACTTTCAAGATGACTCCCTCACCTGCTTGGGAAATTGAGCTGTGGTCTAGGTTTTCCTCCACATAGTTCTCTTTAAAATTGTTTGGCCTTTCTCACAGTGTGGTGATTGGGTATTCCAAGGTGTTTCTGTGACCTGGTCTCAGAAGTCATAAATAGTCACTCTGTTACATTTATTGGTAGAGACAATCACAAAGTTTTGAGGGTAGGGGCCATGAACTCTACCTCCTGTTGGGGCTGTTTTTGGAAATTTTAATCTACGCCATGTGTTTCTTTCCACTTTATTGCCACTTACATGTATTTCTGAGAAATTCTTTGAAAAAAATCAATTTAATGTTTAGCAAGTTAGTAGAAAACTAAAATAAAATATCATCTGAGCAAGAAACTTTAAATTTTTCCTATCTCTGTAGTTCTCAAGATTTTATTTTCAACTGCCTCTATTAAGAATTACTGAATCCAAAACTTTGGATATTGTAAATATATAGTTAATTCACTTGTGCAAATCCCAGCATGAATTATGTACTTATCAGCATGCTTTTATTCTCAAGTATATGCAAAGAAAATATGCGTTGTGTTGGCAGATTATAAGACCGCCCCTGGGTTTGGCGATGTGCTTGGAGGGCACAGCATGTAGCTGTCCTCATAGATGTGGGTTATTGCAGCAGGGGAGCCAAAGCAAACGAGCAGAGGGGAAAGGCACACGGGGCCAAATTCAGAGGGAGCTAGGCCGGGACTTCCAGCAGTCTTCTCCCGGTGAGAGCGTACAAGGTGTGCGTCACTCCTCCAGCAACACATGTGAAATGTCTGCCAGGGCAGCTTATTAGAGACTCGGTGCCCAAAGTTTTTACTGGGGTCTTGTCCCGTAGCACTCTCTACCTTGCACTTAGCAAATTCCAGAGTCCCAGAAGCAAAGCAGGTGTTCAGCATAAACCAACCGTTTGGGTTGCTTAAGTAGTTCAGGCACAGTGAGGTTATCCTTATGATAGTTAGGTGCTGGGAACCTTCCTAAAATCCAAGTTCCCAGACACCAGCCAAAGGCCAACTTTGTAGGCAGGCTTTTCTTTTTTTCTTTTAGCCACAAACCAATCTTATTTAAATCAGGACTGTCCAACAGGATTATTCCATCAGCCGTTCATGATCTGAATTCTACTGTATGAGATCAATTTAAATATGGTACACATAAAAAGTCATGAGACACTTCTGTTTCATAATAAATAAGGCAGTGGCCAACTATTACTCATTGGTAGCTTTTTTGAGATAAGCTATCAAGTCCTCCCTCTCTCCCTTCTTCTTAATGCCAGCAAAGATCATCTTTGTTCCAGGGATGTACTTCTTGGGATTCTCCAAGTACTCCATCAGCGTCTCCTCTCCCGAGGTGATACCTTTGTTCTTTTTGGCATCTGTGTAAGAGAATCCAGCAGCCTGACCCGTCTTTCGTCCAAACAGACCATGGAGGTTTGGCCCAGTCTTGTGCTTGCCTCCCTTTTCCACAGTATGGCACTGGGCACACTTCATCACCCATTTTTAAATTGTTCTTTCTCTGTGCGCGACTGAGAAGTTCCCGCTCACAAGCTGAACGCCCCACTTTCTCTGGAGGCAGGCTTTTCTAAGGATAGCTGTTTCAGGCCTGCTGTGTTAATTCTTTTTTTTTTTTTTTTAATTATCTCCTAATCTTTAAATTGTTCTTGATTGATCCTTCAATGTTGTAGATTTTCAGTAAACTCCATGGTTAAAGAGTTAAACATAAATGAGATATAACTTGGCTATTAACTTTAAAACCAAAGCCAAATATCAATTTCTGTTAAAACTTGAAAGCTTCCTGATAGTATGGAGTTGAAACGTTAACAGTTTTAAGCTAAATATATTGTCTGTGTATTATTAGTAGATGGATTATAGTTACAGGAGCAAATATGTTCAATAACTTTCCACCAGCTTCTTCTTAAGTACATTCTTGGAGAGGAGAGACGAGTTAAGGAGCTTGAGTTCTATAACTAAACTACATGTCTTGGAGTCCTGGCTTCTCACACTGTCTCAGTTTTCTCATCTATCCAAGGGAAGAATAATAATATCTACCTGATAGAGTTGTAGGTGAAATAGGTGAATTTTCTTGCTTTGTTGCATTTTGCAGATACTGCTTTTTACAAATTGAATATTTGTGGCAGCCTTGTGTCGAGCAAGTCTATTGACGTCATTTTTGCAGCAGCATTTGCTCACTTTGTGGTCTGTCACATTTTGGTAATTCTCACAATATTTCAGACTTTTTCATTATTACTATATTTGTTATGGCAATCTGTGATCAGTGGTCTTTGATATTACTACTGCAGCTCACTGAAGGCTCAGATGATGGTTAGCATTTTTTAGCAATAAAGTATTTAAAATTAAGGTATGGACATTGTTTTTTAAGACATATGCTGCTACATACTTGATAGGCTACCAGGATAGTGTAAATACAACTTTTATGTGCACTGGGAAACCAAAAAATTTGTGTGAGTTGCTTTATTGTGATATTTGTTTTATTGTGGTGGACTGGAATACCTCTGAGGTCTATGACTGTATGTAAAGTATCTGCCAGGTAGTATGTGTTTGCCCCTATATCATCAGTCTGTGGTTATAGTAATTATGATTACTGAGACAAAAATCAGACCATCTATTTATAAAAGAATATAATTTGGGAGCTGGTAGCCAGAATATGGAAAGTTGTGTCTATCCTAAGTTTTTAAAGATATATGATTGTCATATCTTTAAAGTACAGTAAGAGGTTGGGGGTGTGGAGAGTCAGAATAATTTGCTATGAAGTTAAACCTTTAATCCTCAATTAATGTATCTACTTTTAATCATTGGTACCAACGTGACTGCACAGTTCAATAGGATATTTCTACAAATAATTAAATGCCTGTATAGAAAAATAATTTCCATGTTCTTGGTTAGAATTCTGTTTGGCTAGGAATGGGCAAGTGAAATTATCTTAGTGGAAACAGATTAGTAGTTTTCTAACATTGTTGCTTACACAGTAAAATAAGCTTTCTTACCAGGGAAGAGAGTACACAAGGCGTTAACTTAAAGAATGAAGTTAATATTTTTAACATTTCTCCTTAAGGACCAGTATATTGCGGAGAATCACGCAGATGGAATTATAGTAAGTTTAATCTAATCTTTACTCCGCTTTACTTCTGCAGAGCATTAATAACCAGTTATGTCAGGAGAAGCCTGAATTTCCACTTATTTTTCAACACAAATCCCTCTTTTTACCCACTCACTGCTCTCTATTGTTGATTCTTGCGATTTTCCTTGAGCTCTTACAGTTGGCTGTCTTTCAGCAATCATTTGGAGGGGAAATGTAGATCTTAAAATTAAGTGTTGGTTCTTATTGAATCACCTTGCATGTGTTAACTTGACGGGTTAATCACGGTGTAAAAATGCGGCTTTTATGACTAAATACTGCATAACTCACAATGCTACATTTCTTGGCAAACGTTTTCTAATGAAAGTAGGGGGCACAGTACTGAAACATATCTTAATCTAATTATATGTTTATAGGTTTCTTTCTTCCTTTCTTTTTTTTTTTTTTTAGATTTTGTGTATTGTGTTAGCTGTCACTGCCGCTGTGGTGTATACTGCTTTTTTGTAGCAGCAGGTTGCAATGTGAATTTTTTCACGTATAGCCATTTTCTCTTCTTTCCTTCCCTTGGTTTTTTACTCTTCCCTTATATTCAACTTGGCCACCAAAAAGAAAATTTTATTGGAAATAAAAGTTAGAGTTTGAAAGTTTGCAGTTTAAGCTTCCCTGATTTTATGGTACATGTGTGATTTGTGTTCAGACTATATTTTTGAAGCATGAGGCAGCGTCTTTTTTTTAGTCTTAAGGCTTTACAAATGCCAGAGGTCTGCAAACTCATTTTGTAAATCTTCAAAACCATCTTATGATTATACTTGAAAGGATGAGTATGTTATCTTTTTATTTGCTGTAAAATGAACACAAGTTAGATGTTTATCTTGTTTATATATTTCTTGAGAAAACAGAGATAAGAGAAACATTTTTAAAATTTGAATTAAACACATTGAAATTTTTGTTTTTCTTCACAGTATGAATCAGGGTTTGAGTCCTGGTGATTTAATAGAACTATGTGATATAAATACATAATATAATATATCTCTTCCTGAGATAGCAGTTAAGATTATAAGCCTCATGGAAAAAGACTATGTAAGTTGTCTAGAATTTCATGGTTCCTTAAGACCTTAAGGAAAAATAATGATGGCAGTTATTTTTATCTCTTTTCCCTCAAAGCAAATCAATTACTTTTTATTATGTTAAACAACAGTTTTATAAAGCATACCAAAAATGTTTGATTATTTGCAGTTTAAAAACATCTAGAAAGTTTATACTCATAGAAAATCTAAACTTACAGAAAACAGACATATTTGAATCATTTGATTAGGGACCATAGCATTTTTCCTTAAGAGGTGTTTTTTTTTTTTTTTTTTTTTTTTTTAAGGAATTGTGTACGGTTTAGGCTTTGAATCCAGACTACTAGGACCTAGCCCTGCCAGTTACTAGCTGTGACTGCAGGCAAGTTACTTAACCTTTGAGTCTTCTTTTCCTCATCTATAAAGAAAAGTGACTTCTACCTCAGAGGGTTGTTGTAAGATAGTATGCACATAGTACTCAATAAATGTTAGCTATACATACATGTATGTATATATAATTAATATATTTTGTATTGTATTGCATGAACTTTTATTAATGTTAACAACAGATTAGGGCTCAGGATTGTCATTTGTTTGCACTTCTCAAGCTCTTCACGTTCTTTTTTAAAGCAAAGCATAGAATGTTATTTGACATATTTTAGCCTGAAGTTGATTGATCGCAGATTGTTAGATATTTGTAGAATAGTTGTCTTTTCTGTTAACAACAGCAGCAAGAAATATTTGGTGCCTTCAACATACATCTTAAAAAGTCTAAAAGTGTTCTGTGGGATTGACAAGCCTAATCTTAGGCTTTTGAAAAACAGAAGATTGCATTCAAAAGATAGAATTCTGGTCCATTTTTCCAAAGTTATTTTATTTCTTAGTGTCTTTATAAATTTTACTTACATTAATGTAATAGGTGGGAATAAGGAGGCAGGATGCTCTTGTCCCTGTGGCTCAAAGTATTAGAAGTGGGATTTTACCTTTGTTAAAGCACCTGGGTCCCTTTAGAGAAAAATTACTATTTAAAAATAAGAACTATGTTCTAAGAACAGCTCCAGGATTGTTGAGACACTTGTTTAGTTATTATGGCCCAGCCTAGTATCTGAAAATAGAATCCTAAAGTAGTAACCAGAAAGCCTTTAGAGACCATAGCATCCATTTCTTCATTTTATACACTGGGAAAGTAAGGCCCACAGCAGATTAGACTTGCCAGGTCACTGGTAGAGCAAGGATTCTAGGAATTAAAGTTCTAAGTCTCTGTTTCCGTGCTTTTCCTAATGCTTTGGAACCTTCCCCACTTCACTTTACTGAGTTTTTAAATTATTAATTATCATTTTCAGAGTTTCTTCTCTGTGTCCTTTATATCCTTGGCCTAGAATATTTATGGTAGATTGAGTGCTGTGACAGAATTCTTGTGTTTAAATTACTTAATTTAAGAGATCTGATTTAGTGATTTTTCTGTATGCAGAGAGGGGTTTAAGAAAAAAATTAACTCAGGTATTAAATAAGAATGCTATAAGAAACTTTCCCATTATCTCAATTTCCATTGTTAGGTGCTTTTAAATTTTCACAAATGCTTTTGAAGCTCATTCATCAGTAAAATACATCTTTTCTAATTCTATTTTAGTATTTTCTGTTAAAAGCTCTACCTAATAAATTTGAAGTTTAGTTTTCCAGATCAAAGAAAGCTGAAGAACTTTTTATTTCTTGGGTTTTATCTAATGTAGTCTACATTAATGTAGTCTTCTTCTGGATTTAAACTTTTTTTTTTTGGATTTAAACTTTACTTTGGCAAAGACCTTGATTTAAAATCTCCCCCTCCTCCAAATAAAAAAAAAATCAGGAAGCTGTGAAGTCTTGTTTTTAAAATACCATTATGCTGGCAAAATAGTTTCTTGGCTTGGAGTCAGAAAACCTAGGCTTTTTTTTTTTTCTCTCTCTCTCTCTCAAATGTAACTACATGTTTGAGTTTTTTTTTTCCTTCTAAATCCTCAAGAAAAAAAAAAGCTTTCTTCCCCCCAGCAAGCAGTTAGGAGCTGCGTTTCTCTGCCTTTAGTGACTAGAGCTCGACGCCTGTACGGTGCGGTACACGTTGACAACAGTGGCAGTCATCTGGGTGTGAAGATAGGATGATAGCGGTGCAGGTATTTTAGCTCGTCATAGGTACAGTGCTCACTAATACCAAAGTAAGAGCATTCTCCCTGCTTTGAAATTTGTTGAATTAAAAATTTGAGAAGCACTGAATTGAATTGAGAATTTATTGTTTTGGCTTCCTGAAACCATTCTACAGCTCTTTCCATGTGTTTTCGTTCGGCTTCACCTTTCTATGTGACAGATTCATTCATTTTTCCTCTTTATTATGCTTTTTGAGAAAATTTTTTTATAAGAAACTCTTAAGCTGCTGTAAAGTAAAGTTGTTTTATTTCCTCGTTGAAATTTGACCAACATGTCGGCATAGCTGCTCCCAGGACTTTGCTGTCAGAAATGTGGGCATTTCGTACATTTGGGAGGGTCAACACCAGAAGGGTAATTACAATAAAAATAACTATGCCATGCTTCTTTACCTCAGAGTACTATTAATCCTGTGGATGCAATATATCAACCTAGTCCCTTGGAACCTGTGGTCAACACAATGCCTTCCCAGACTGTCTTACCTCCAGGTATAGTATAATATTTGGAAAAATGTTTCACAGATTCATTAATGACAAAAACCTTTTTTTTTTAATGGCAGTTGTAATCTTGAAGAACTCATTTTTTTTTTTTTTTTGTAATAAAGTAAAAGGAATTTCACACACAAATACAGCCAAAAATGAACTTGAAAAAAATGATACTATTTTTGGGATTGGAGGTTTTTAAATACAATTCAAAAGCTTTTGGTTTTCAAAGTGAGATGGAAGACAAACATGATTACTTGGATTAGCTGATAGGACTGAATCCCATGACCCAGGATTCATGGCTACCAAGGAAAATATAATATACCTTGATCTACTTGAAGGTAACCCAGAAATGTTCTATTTTTGTGTATTCTTTATAAATCTGAATTATACAAGTGATTTCTTTATGGTGGACTTCAGGATAATGAGAAAGGGAGGAATGAGATTTTTGATGCCTACTGATTAGTTATACATGTGTATTTTTAAGGATAGAATAATAAAATTTTTTTTTTTTAACTGGCAAAGGAGGGCTTAGGTCCAACACCCACTGATTCCTTTTACTTTTTTGTGGCATCCAACATTTCAGTTGTTGGGTGAAATGTTCTCATTGGTGATGAAGTTAACAGAAATTTTACTGGGGAAAAAAAAACTTTTTAAAATTACTTACAAGTATGTGAGGTCTTTTTAGGAATTTTTTCTCCTTAGGAGAAATTAGGAGCATAATATCTCATGAGACTAAAGAGGAAGTACCGTGCCGCATTTTAGATTTTACATGTGGTTTAATCCTCGGGTGCATGCTCTGTGCATGTTAAGTTGCTCAGTTGTGTCCAGCTCTTTGCAACCTATAGACCAGGCTCCTCTGTCTATGGGATTCTCCAGACAAGAATGCCGGAGTGGGTTTCTATGCCCTCCATCAGAGGATCTTCCCAACCCGGGGATCAAACCCGAATTTCTTAGGTCTGATGCATTGGCAAGCAGATTCCTTACCTCTGAGCCACCTGGGAAGCCCATTCTTGGGGAGGAAACAGTTTATCATCAGAAGCATTTGCTGGTTGTACAGAGCAATTGTACTAAGATATTGGCCTATCTTGACTAGTCTTTGATATCCCACCTAGTGTCTCAGAACTTGGTAGCCTACCATCATTGAGTTTAAAGAGGATAGGGCATTGGAAAGGAGTAGCAGCATGAAAGGTGACTTACTGGAATACAGTCTCAAAAGTTACTCATCTTTAAGATTTTAAATTCCACAGAGTTGTAGTTAAAAGTTGTGTTTGGCTTTTTCTCTCACTTATTTCACATCTTAAATCTCCTAGAACCTACTCAGTTGTGTAAGTCAGAGCAGCGTCCATCCTCTCTACCAGTTGGACCTGTATTAACAACCTTGGGACATCATCAGACTCCAACACCAAATAGTACAGGTACAGATTTGTGTGATTCCTTTACTTCTCATAACTGCCCATTAACATTTGAGATTTGTGTCTGATTACTGATGGGAAAACATTGAAGAAAGGTGGTATATTTTGTGTTGGCGATACCTTAGTTTTACCATTATAGTTCCATCCATGAAGTGGTTAGCTTTGTGATTGAACCAGAAATTTAATAATAATTATAATTTTTATGAAATAAATTATTGCAGAATTTTGTGTATTTGTTGTGATTTATTTTGAAGATATGTATTGACTTTTTAAAAAAAAAAATTGCTCAGGTTAGATTTATATACTTTCTTATTGTAAAGGAATCAAATAATACAGAAGTATGAGAACAAAAGCTGTAAATCTTCTTTACTGTTTGTTGTTTGCATACATGTATGTACATGTCTACCTGTATTGCATACTTCTATTACTGTTTTTGTTCTAACCTAAATGAGATCATATGGTTCTGTGACTTTCTCAATTTTCATTTAACCGAGAACCATTTAGAGAACTTTCTGTGTTTATACACTTAGGTCTACAACATACTTTTTACAGCTGCTCAGGGAGCTATTACCTGTTTTCCTGCTGATGGACATTTATGTTAATTGCAGTATTTTCCTATTATAAGCAGTATTTCAGGGAATACTCTTGAACAGCAACTTGGGCACATAATGTATTTTTATGGATAGATTTATCGGTCACATTTTTCACCAATTTTATAAGCAAAAAAAGGATACTTGATTTTAATTTGCATTTTCTTAATTTGTTTAGATTCCTGGTTTTTTTATTTTTCTCTGATTCACAAGGATGCTATCAATGTTAGTATAGATTTATTCCTTATTTTAAAACTAATCAGGTTGATGTTGAGTTACCAGTTGAACCAAACTCAAGGGAGCACTTGGTTTTTGTCCCTATTCCACCTGGAGGCCAAAATCAAAACCACATGAAGGACATGGGAGATGAGCCCCTGCTATTGCTCCACAGATTCTTTCCTGGGTGGGGCTTTCCTGTGTAATAATGAAAAGCTACCCTGTGATTTTTAGCCCAATATGAAATTTGAATTAGTAAAAATGCAGATGCTGTTACTTTGGATTTTTAATATTTAACAGCCTGAACCATATGTCTTAATTTTGGAAAAAAGCAAGCAACAAGAAGAGCTCTCTTATTTGAAACTGTAAAGTGATGATAAGCAATTTGAATAATAAAGTTGAAATGTTTGGCTGACTTTTTTCTGTATATCATTACACTTTGCCATTTTAAAAATGGTATCTGTGTTTCTTTTTTTATAAGGAGGGATTATGTTAGAATTTTGAAACAGCCAAAATATATCCATTTGGAAATATAAAATTACTAGTCAGTTACAAACTTTGAAAAAGTTCGCATTTTTTATGTACATGAAGTTTAGAGTCATTAATTAGTTGTAAATAATGATAAATAATTTAGGATAAATTATTCCAGGAGGCATTATAAAAATATAATATTTTAGAGTAGGTGGATTTAAAGAAATCTTTTGTGGTTTATGTCTTGTTTGATTTTTCAACCTAAATTCTTCATCTTTCTTTCCTTTATCTCTGTCACTAAAACATAAAAAAAGAAAACAATTTTTTCTGTCATAAGGAAAACTCAATTCTTTGGATTGCAGTTCCCATTCTAACTCATTTTCTTCTTGAATACATTTTCAGTTTTGTGTGGTTGCCGGGACTATTTGCATATTACTTAATCATTTGTAATTCCTGGTCTCTTTCTTCCTTTCTCTGTCATTTTTTTCCCCCTTATTTCAATAAGGGAAAATTTATTTCCCATCTTATTGCTGATATGGAGCAGGATAGGTGGGTGGGAAGAAGATTTTTCAAGTCATTTGCTAAGATGAACTATCTCTGGCGTTCCCACAATAAGCTTTGCCTATTTAGGCAGCAAACTTTCTGTGTTTATGTTTTAAAAATATCTTTGTGAACATGGTAACTGAGTGCAGCAGGTGGATGTGCTCTCTCATAACTGTTGAAGCATAGACCATGGAATGGGCAAAAAATCCATGGGTGGCTCTGGATTCATTTTTATTGCTGCTGTTCTTGTTTCTTCTAGAAGTGTGGCATTGGCTTTTAGATTGTCAGCAGTGAATTTACTCTCCACCAGACATCGGTAGCAGTTTGGCACAAATTCCCTGAGAGTCCTTAGATGCTCAACAAATACTTTTTAAATTGCTCTCAATATTTCACTGTTCTGTTTGATACTTTTATTGTTATTTTTTATTACTCGACAATGAACCCCAGATGATTATCAAAGAGACATAGCATTTTTTCATTTATTTAGAAGGCTGTGTCCCATTCTGTAATGTGATTTGCCTTTTTCTTTGTCTAGTTTAAATGTTGATTTTCTTTACAAATAGTCTAGGGACTTCTGCCAACTTAACTCTTTTCTTGATTTTAATAGGTCTGCTTTGACCCCGTCTTTCTAATTTCTTCCTTTCTGTTACCAACATTGTCTCTTAATTTAAAACTCTTTTAACTTTCTAGGCAGTGGCCACTCACCACCTAGTAGCAGTCTGACTTCTCCAAGCCATGTCAACTTGTCTCCAAACACAGTCCCAGAGTTCTCTTACTCTAGCAGTGAAGATGAATTCTATGATGCAGATGAATTTCATCAGAGTGGCTCATCACCAAAGCGCTTAATAGAGTAAGTAGGTGAACTAACTATTGAAATGAGTCTCCTGATTTTTAAAAATGTGATTTGATTTTGAAACTGGTGTTAATGACAAGCTCCTTTAAAAATTATTATTTGGAAAAAATGAAAAAGCTTATTTTCATTTGACTTATTGAGTCAAGGCTAGTTCTGTGAGAATGTTCATTTTACTCCTGATTTAATTTAAATGGAATAAGTTAGCATCAGTTGTGGTAACATGCCAGGATTGGGGCTTTATTTCTATAGAACCAGCATTAGGAGAGGATCAAATGAAAGTGAGGATGCTAGGGATTATTCCTATAAGAGGAGGTTACTATTACTTGTTTTGTATTAGAGTGGAGGTATTCAGGTACCTATAAGTTAGGCTCTGTACTAGCCTGGTAGAAGAATGATGTGTTTAGAACTTTGGACCCAATGGACTATAGCCTGCCAGGCTCCTCTGTCCATGGAATTCTCCAGGCAAGAATACTGGAGCAGGTTGCCACGTCCTCCTCCACAGGCTCTTTCAGACCCAGGAATCAAACCCATGTCTCTTGTGTCTCCTACATTGGCAGGCGGATTCTTTATCACTGGCGCCTCCTTATACAGAAATGAAACAAGAGCCAGTCCTTGCCCTCAGGAACTTACAGTCTTTTGTGGGGAAAACAGACTTTTATAATTCAGTGTGAAATATGCTTTGTAAGAATAAGCCCAGGAAGAATTGGGAGCATTTTGAAGTCCTGAGAAGTCAAGAAAGGATTCACAGGATAGAGGGAATGTGATCCTAAGATGAGATGTGGATGAGAGAGAAGGGTCATGGGGGTGAGAAGAGGAGGGGGAAATGGAAAATGTTCTTCTCATGGAGATGGAACCCTAATAAGAAAAGCCTGGGGGCAGCAGGGGCTTGGTTTTGAGAAGCTATAAGCTAGTGAGCGTGACTGAGTGTGGTTATAAATTGTGGGAAGTGGTTAAGAAGATACAGGATACAGGAGAGGTTGACAAGGGCCAAGTTATGAAGGAGTCCTTTTAGCCTTTTATGAATTTTGAACATTTTCTCTCAGGTGATGGCAGCTGCTGGTCAGGTCTATCTTTTAGAAAAATAGATAGGAAAAATATGCCTAAATTGTACAGAATTGAGTACAGTGGGAATGCATTATGTGTAGGAAGACCAGCCAAAACTGGGTAGGAAATTGAGGAATGTTGATAACCTGAGCTAAGGTCATAGCATACGAATGGAGGGAAGCATGTGGACTCCAGAGATACAAAGTAGGCAGATTTTGGCAGATAGTGATGGTAGATTTTCTTTTATTAGGAGATATTTGACCTATTTTACACTGTCAGGTCAAAGCTAGGAATGTTCCATTGTACAGAAAAGGTCTTTTCTTTACACATAAAGTCACTTACATAATAAAGAAAGTGAAAGTCACTCAGTTGTGTCCGACTCTTTGTGACCCCATGGACTATACAATCTGTGGAATTCTCTAGGCCAGAATACTGGAGTGGGTAGCCTTTCCCTTCTCCAGGGGATCTTCCCAACCCAGAGACTGAACCCAGGTCTCCCGCACTGCAGGCGGATTCTTTACCAGCTGAGCCACAAGGGAAGCCCAAGAATACTGGAGTGGGTAGCCTATCCCTTCACCAGCGGATCTTCCTGATCCAGGAATCGAACCGAGGTCTCCTGCAATGCAGGCAGATTCTTTACCAATTGAGATATCAGAGAAGCCCACTTACATGATAGCCAGTCAGCAAAGTTCTTTTTATCCCTGCTGATATATAGGTTTCTGTGGTTAGACCTTGGATTCTGGAATCTTAGAAAGAAATAATAGGTTCTAAATCTGTTTTGCTTTAAAAGTGTGTGATCTTGGTCAAGTTACTTAACCTGTGTAATCCTCAGTTTCCTTGTTGGTAAAATGAGGATGATAATAGTTTCAACTTCAAGGAGTCGTTGTGAACATGTAGATGACAATAATGTCAATCAAGTGCTTACCGTAATGTCTGGCATTACGGTAAGTAATGCAGTAAGTAATGCAGTAAGTAATACGGTAAGTATGCAGTAAGCGATAGCTGTTACAGAAAGCAAATTAACATTTATTTGCTTTAATGTTCCTATATTTGTTGTAGATGTAACTGGCTTACTTTTTGTTGGGTATTTTTTTCCATATGTAATTGTACCGTAACTGTTCAGAATCTCAAAATATATAAGGAAAATGACTATATTAATTCAGGAAGTTTTGTTACATAGTAGATCAAATTCAACATTTGAATGTGAGAAATGTAAAATATATTCCATTAGGTGAATACATACTGTTACTACCATGAGAGAAAGAGAGATTTGAGCCCACAGTTCAAGAAGACTAGTTCAGCAGAAAGAGTTTGGTTTAGCATGTTGGTTTCTTAATGTTTGTATGTGGGGCAGTAAACTATTACAAGACCATTATTAACAGTTTGCCAATCAATAGAAATTTTACTTTCATTTTGAAAAATAATTTTTATAATAGGTTAAAAGAAAACAGGCATTTGGGAGAAAATTTCAAAATAAAGATTATTATTGATTTTTGAAGTGTTAAGTCATTGTTTGCTTAAACAGAGTTAAAGACAGTCTACTTCATGGGACATTAGCTATTATTTGAAACATAGTACAAATTGAGTATCAGAATGAATCATCTATCCTCTAGAAACCTAACTATATTTGTTAAAAGCTTGATGATGATATGGTTAGCCTCCTTATTACTACATCACTGATAGTCAGTCTCTGGCCCCAGTTTTAGGGGTACTCCTTAAATTTTAAATGCTTGCTTACCTGTTGTACCTGTAATAGACATGTCTACAAAGTTACCTGCAGGCTCATAGGCATTTCTTTTTTCTCCTTAGAAACTTCCTTCTCTGTGCTCTCCCAGTATCCACCCCATAACAAACATATGGTCTGTGAACCTTCATGCTTCCTTATATGCCTTAATCTAGATTCCAAAACTAGTAGGAACTATAGGTATTTTATTTGGCCAGCACAGTGTTTGTTGACTTTTTTTTTTTTTAAATGGGAGTTTAAATCCCTTCCAATTGACTATGCTGGCTCCAGCTCTCCATTGTCTTATGGAATGGGGAGTGCTCAGTCGTGTCTGACTCATTGAGACCCCATGGACTATACCCCGCGAGGTTCCTCTGTCAAATTTTCAGGCAAGAATACTGGAGTGGGTTGTCATTTCCTCCTCCAGGGGATCTTCCCAACCCAGGGATCGAATCTGGTCTCCTGCATTGCAGGCAGATTCTTTTACTGCTGAGCCACCTGGGAAGCCCACCTGACCCTATTCACATATCTAGGCTTCCCTCGGTCAGCAGTAAAGAATCTGCCGGCAATTCAGGAGACTACCTTCAATGTAGGAGACACTGGTTCGATCCCTAGGTCAGAAAGATACCCTTGAGAAGGAAATGGCAGCCCACTCCAGTATGCTTACCTGGGAAATCCCACGGACAGAGGAGCCTGGCAGGCTACAGTCCGTGGGGTCGCAAGAGTCAGACTCAACTTGGCAATTACACCTCCATCACCACCATTCTCATATTGATGCTGCCTGTTGTCTGTAGGCATTGAGCTTGTGTGCCACCTGCTGGTCATCAGCTGCTACCACTAGTTTTCTAGTCTTGAGTCAAGTTTCTATCTACAGTATCTCTCCCTGAAGGAAGAGAATTTGAAAGCTTAAGTCCTTCCACCGTTCAGTTTCTAAAGACCTGTCATAATGATAACTTCTCTGTGAACTAATGTTCTAACATAGGCAGAGCACAGAAGATTTTTAGAGTAATGAAACTATGCTCTGCAATACTACAGTGATGGACACTTATCAACATCCATTTGTCAAAATCCTTAGAATGTACAAGACCAAGCGTGAACCCTACTGTAAACTATGGACTTTCAGTGATAATGCCATGTCATGTCAGTTCATCAGTTGCTACAAATGTACTACCGCTCTGGTGCAGGATGTTGATGGTGGGGAAGTTGTGCGTATGGGAATTCTGTACTTTCTGCTCAGTTTTGCTCTGAACCTAAAATTGCTCTTTAAAAATATCACGCTTATCATTAAATAAGAAATCAAGGGAGGGAGGATCGGGATGGGGAACACATGTAAATCCATGGCTGATTCATGTCAATGTATGGCAAAAACCACTACAATATTATAAAGTAATTAGTCTCCAACTAATAAAAATAAATGGAAAAAAAAGAAATCAAAAGAAAGTAATCAGGGCAAACTATGTTGTTGTTGTTGTTGTTGTTGTAAACTATGTTTAAATTAGAATATATAATGTGTTTTGCTGGCAGAGGAAATTATATCCTACTTCAGTATTCTTGCCTCGGAAACCCCATGGCCAGAGTGGCTGGTGGGCTGTAGTCTGTGGGGTCACAGAAGAGTCGAGCACAACTTGGCAACTAAAGAACAGTGGCGTTTGCATCTATAAATTTGCAATAAGAGACTTCAGTGTGTGTACCATTTATAAATAATGCCTGCAATGTGAGAAGTTTCCTTTCTGTTTTTATCCTTAATAAGTAAACTTTGATTACTTATTGCTTGGTAATAAGTTCTGGGTAGGTTATGATCAGAGCTATATAATAGAGGGCACTTTCTTTAGACCCTGTTAGTCAGCTCATAATACCACTTACCATAAATTTACTTGTAAAAGTTAATGTACTTTTAAATTTTTTTAATTTCAAATATGGTTTTTTATTGACTAGGAAAGATGTTATTACCTGTGTAGGCTTTTTCAAAGGTCTCAAAAATACAGACATCTTTCTGAGACTAATAGATATATCATTTTTGAGGTTCTGGAAATTGTTGCCAAGAATTACGACAGACTTAAATTTATGCAAAGAAACAAATTTGAAAAATGAATTCAAGTTTTAAACTTACATGAAGAGGCAAAATCTTACTAATTTTTCATGGCCTTTCAATATGTGAGCATACACCATGCAGAAAACATGAAGCTGATGGGGAGAGAATCAAGAATACATATATGTATATAACCAGCTAACTTTAAAGGTCTAGTTTGTTTCTGTCAGTTATCTGCATATACTGATTTTAAGTAGCTTTATAGGTTAATGTCTTACTGTGATTTTAAGTTGCTTCCTTAAAAAGCTTAAGAAGGTGATTGATTTTTTTTTTTAGTTCCTCTGGATCTGCCTCAGTCTTGACACACAGCAGCTCGGGAAATAGTCTAAAGCGCCCAGATACCACGGAATCACTTAATTCTTCCATGTCCAATGGAACAAGCGATGCTGGTAAGCAGCCTTTGAGAGTTTTAACTTTTTTTCCTTAAAAATATTTGTTTGAAAAAAATTATTTATAATACTGGTACCAGCACAGATTGGCCCAGTGTAACACCAGTCTAAGAAGATTTGTTTTATTTTAGACCTTTTCGATTCACATGATGACAGAGATGACGAAGGGGAGGCAGGGTCGGTGGAAGAGCACAAGAGTGTTATCATGCATCTGTTGTCACAGGTTAGACTTGGAATGGATCTTACGAAGGTAAGAATCAAATTTGGTTTTGCTCTTAATCTTAATGTATGTATGTAGATTCGCAGTGATTGTATGGTGAGTGTATCTGCACACGTAGTATAATGACATAATTTGTTTATACCTTTGTCTTTTTATATATGTACCTGAGTAAACTGAGAATTTTATAAATGGATGACATAAATAAAACTGGGGTAATTTCATAGGGATAGTATATATAGTTTATGATTTGGATTTTATTGGGAGAAAGCATGGAGTAGTATTGGGCTTGGTTAGTAGTTTGGACAAAATGCAAAGCAGTGTAGTATGCATAGAATCAGAATGAGCAGAGTTCTGATCTTGGGGTTAAAGGATCTGTGCTTACATCCTACTTCTGCTATTACCAAACTCTGTGACCTCGAGCAAGTTCCTTCCTCTATGACCTTTGGGCTTTGCATATGCAAAATGGATATTGGAACAGGTAATGAGTGGGAAATTGTATGATATACATTGAGCCATATACTTATTATGGTTCTGGATTTGAATTTGAATTTAAACTTGGCGCTCTAAACAGAATGCCTAATTGATACAGGAGACTGGTTTATAGGTCCTTGCCACTCTGCTAAAAGGCTTCTCCTTTGACCTAATTCTCAACATAGCACTGCAGAGTTGGTGGTGGTTGTTAACTCCACTTTATAGATGAGGAAATTAAAGCTCACAGAGACTAAGTAAGTCCTTTGGCTAAGTCCTTCCTATTAAGTGGCAGAACTAAGATTCTAATCTGGTCGTAGATTTCAAAATCTATAAACTAAACCATATTACTTTCTAGTAAGTGGTGTATAATAAAAATTTCTACCCCAAATCTAAGAACAGAAGCACAAGGCTAGCATTAATTTGTGCAACAAACATACTTGCTGGGGAAGTTCTAGGTAAGAGAATATTTGCAGGAGCTTGCCTCCAGAATATTTTCATTGATCATTAGATTGATTGTATAATTGCTGGAGCAGAATTGTCACTTCAAATTTGAGAAATACAGCTTCATTTTAGATATTGATGTTTATATTTCTTTTCTACACCTTCTACCTTGGTTGGGTTTGGTCTCCAATAATGGAAGAGCCACCTAGTAGTATCTTGAACAATACTAGGTTTACCGTTCTCAGGAAATGAGAAGTCCAGAAACAGAGTAGTTCCAGGATTGATGAATTCATAGTGGGCCAACCATGTGAGAAACAATCTAGGTCCTGACATTCTAGGTCCTGAGAAACAATCTAGGTCCTGAATGCATGCTGACATTCACACTCAGACCCGTCTTCCCATCATTGAAAAATGACTGCCACACTTCCAGTTAATTACATCCTTATGCAGGTATGTCAAGAGGCAGGAAAAATAATTCTCTTCGTGAATTTTAGTGTTGGTATAGGGAGAACATCCTTTTCCGCAGTGGCCCGTCAGACTTCCAGTTGAATCACATTGGCCCGCGCTCAGCCAGTGTGCATGCATAAGCCAGTCACTGGCAAAAGAGGTTAATAGATTGGTTTAGGTTAATCTACATTCACCCCTTGGGGTGTGGGAGGGCCCTGTGACTCATAGCAACCTATAACCCATACCTGAACTGAATCAAAGTTCTTTCGGTAGGGATATGTATAGGCAACCAGAAGGATGTGCTACGATCAAGTGTGTAATTCTTACCTGACATAGTTTCCTCTGCCATATGCTCCATGTTTGGGTTTTGTAGCCACTAAAAGTTTGTTAATTCTTGCTAACTTATTAGATATTTTAGAAATCTTTATTGGCGTACACGGTAGTGGTTGTCAGCAGATTCTGAAATCTTGATCCCCTTGTGCATTTCAAAGTATTATTACAATAATGCCTTAAATTTGTATCTCATTTTCCTACTTATAATAATATCTTCTCACCTCAAATATTTTCTAAAAAGAGTTATTTTGCAAATATGTCATAAGTGTTTGGAAACATTACTATAAAGTCACATCCTGTTTACCTCACTTGGTCTTCAAAACAGTCCTAAGACTTAAGCAAGGCATATAATTATCCTCCTTTTACAGAAACTTTCAGATGTTGAATAAATTTTCTGTGGCCTCCTCACACCAAAATAAGTATTTGAACTCAGGTTAAAGACAGCCTAGTCCAGCTCACTTATATCAGTGTTTCAGCAACTTAACATAATGGCATGTATCCAGATAGTGCTAAAAACAATGAAGAAGATCTGTTCAATGAGAGTTCTTAAGACAAATTTTAAGTAGGGAGGGAAAAATTTTTTTTTTTTTTGATTACACATCAAATCAAACTTATGGTCTTTGGCCATGTCTTCTTTTTCAAATTGCATGTTCTGTTCTTTTGTTCATTTTTCTGCTGGCAGTAGTAATCTTTTTCTTGTTGATTTGCAAGACCTTTTTATATATTGAGATATTTAGCCCTGTCTTGTTCTTTTTCAGTCTTACTTAGTAATGTATAATCTCTGTATTCTCCCAGAGTGGTAGAAAATTACACCAAGCTTACTCGCCAATTTAAGCATATTTATACTATGAATATAATATAGGTGTTCTGAGGAACATTTAAACTCAGGAGTCTGATAGTAAACATTCCACATGTTAGAGCTGTAGGGGTTCTTTCCAGGCTGTGCTGTTCTGTCATTCCTCTCTGTATGCAGCAGCAGCGGTACTGGTCCACTGGGCAGTCCCTGTCACGCTCGCTTTCTGCCGCCCTCCCTCCCGTGTTCCCCTCCATTATCTCCATGTCTCCATGTCTCCTCTCTATTACAGCCTACTCTCTGAGGCTTTTCTCTAGCGCCACCTCAATATGTTGTTTCTCAGCTTTGCCCTCATTGTGGTTTCCCAAACAGAGCATGATGTTTTGCCTCTCCTGAATTTCCAGAGTACATTGAACATCTCCTGGATGCTCCTCTCTTCATGGAATTCTCCAGGCAAGAATACTGGAGTGGATAGCCATTCTCCAGGGGATATTCCCAGCTCAGGGATCAAACCCAGGCCTCCCACATTGCAGGCAGAGTCTTTACCATTTGAGCTACCAGGGAAGCCCAATATTTATCACATTCTACCTAAAAGTTAAATACTGGTATTATTCTCTCAGTTAACCTTTGCTGCTTCCATCGCATTTACCACAGGTTCTTGAATATTGCAGTAATGACCACATTTAAAGGCATCTTTGGTTACTGTGATGCTCAACTGCCAAAATGAGTAATGTCTGACCTGATACAGACTTCAAAAACTCTTCCTCTATTTGTAATAAAATTCTTTTCTTAATTGATTAATCTTAATCTTATTCTTTTTCCCCATATTACAGTTTCTTCTCTTAATTTTTAAGTTTCTATATTATATTTATTTTTGGCTGCACTGGATCTTTGTTGCTGTGCATGGACTCGTCTCTAGTTGCAGTGAGTGGGGCCTACGCTTCAGTTGCGGTGCACGGGCTTCTCATTGCAGCAGCTTCTCTTGTTGAGGAACACAAGCCCTTGGGCACGCTGGCTTCAATAGTTGGGGCACATAGGCTCAGTTGCCCCGCAGCATTGTGGAATTTTATCTTTTTGGTCCAGGGACGGAACCCTTGTCTTCTGCGTTGGCAAATGGATTCTTAAACCACTGTACCACCCAGGAAGTCCTCCAACTTCTTTTCTTTACTTTCTCCTCTGCCACTTTCCCAGGCCCTCAGCATTTTTCTTCATGGGCCCGGCCTCCTGAAGAAAGAGTTGGTGGAATCCCATCTTTATTCTCTTCTTCATTTTGTTTATTCCTTCAGTTACTTACTAAAAATTTCTTAGTTTGTAATAGTAGCTGAAATGCAAGTACAAATAAGTATGGTTCTTGCATTCTAGGAGCTCATTGTTTACTTGAGAACACAGATCCAGTAGATAAATTTCCTTAGGCACTTACGATGATAGAGACGCAATAGTAGAGAGGAAGTGTGTAGACCCCATACCCCCAAAGTTAAACAGAGCCCATTTTGGATTCCACTTAACAACAGGGCAGTGAGAAAATTTCTCACCCATTTGAGCTTCATTTTTCTCCACTGGTTCCAAATAGGAAAAGGAGTACGTCAAGGCTGTATATTGGCACCCTGCTTATTTAACTTATATGCAGAGTATATCATAAGAAACGCTGAGCTGGAAGAAGCACAAGCTGGAATCAAGACTGCTGGGAGAAATATCAATAACCTCAGATATGCAGATGACACCACCCTTATGGCAAAAAGTGAAGAAGAACTAAAGAGCCTCTTGATGAAAGTGAAAGAGGAGAGTGAAAAAGTTGGCTTAAAGCTCAACATTAGGAAAACTAAGATCATGGCATCTGGTCCCATCACTTCATGGCAAATAGATGGGGAAACAGTTTCTGACTTTATTTTTCTAGGCTCCAAAATCACTGCAGATGGTGATTGCAGCCATGAAATTAAAAGACACTTACTCCTTGAAAGGAAAGTTATGACCAACCTAGGCAGCATATTAAAAAGCAGAGACATTACTTTGTCAACAAAGGCCTGTCTAGTCAAGGCTATGGTTTTTCCATTGGTCATGTGTGGATGTGAGAGTTGGACTATAAAGAAAGCTGAGCGCAAAAGAATTGATGCTTTTGAACTGTGGTGCTGGAGAAGACTCTTTGAGAATCTCTTGGACTGCAAAGAGATCCAACCAGTCCATCCTAAAGGAGATCAGTCCTGGGTGTTCATTGGAAGGACTGATGTTGAAGCTGAAACTCCAGTAGTTCGGCCACCTGATGCGAAGAGCTGACTCATTTGAAAAGACCCTGATGCTGGGAAAGATTGAGGGCAGGAGGAGAAGGGGGTGACAGAGGTGGTTGGATGGCATCACCAACTCGATGGACATGGGTTTGGGTGGACTCTGGGAGTTGGTGATGGAAGGAAGGCCTGGAATGCTGTGGTTCATGGGGTCTCAAAGAGTTGGATACAACAGAGACTGAACTGAACTGAACTGAACTGAGCTTTAGTTATGTAGTTCAAAGATGAGTATTGAAGATCCCTCTGATACATGGGTTGTCATATGT